AAAAAAGACCAATTATGTTGAACATGTACATTTATTAACTCATATTACATCAGACCATGTTTCAGAATGAATTATCGTTAACGATCTCTGTCCAAACAATGAAACTGACCAATGCTTCACCAGAGACTTTCACATGTGACCTGATGTATCACGCAAACAGAACATGGTCGGCTGGTGAACCTGCTGCGTGTTCATCTGGTTGTGGATTTCATTTCCCGAGTTCTTCTCTTTAGCGTTGCGTTGACAGTTAGCGTGGCAAGTTAGCACAGAAGCCGACAACGTTGTGAGTCCTGAGCACAAAAAAATGATGTCGCACCAAGCGTCACGCCCACTGTGAAGCCTTAATGCAACGCTTAGATGTAAGTCCTGCGTTAGCATCGCTTTCCATTTAGTTGTGGCTGATAGGAACCAATCAGGAAGAGGGTTGGGCCATAAATATAGAATTAGTTCTTAAAACAGCAGGTGCCAAAGCCACGCCGAGTCCGTTCTGGTCTTCGAGTCTGAACATGGCTCATTTGTGTTTGGCCGAGATGACGCAGATCCAACAGGAGGAAGGAGAGAGAGGAGACAGTCCCGATACCGTCACACTCAGGTGTGCTGAACGATCCTGTCCACGCCCTCCTGAATGTCGGCCATCTTCTTCAGCATCTGGTTGACTTTGGCTTCATCAAACTCCAGACACACAAACTCAGAGTCCTGAGAGAGGGAGGAGAGGGAGGACATTTTATAGCAACACACTGTTAACGCTCCTCTTCACAGAGCAGGAGTCAGTTTCACAGTTTGGTCCAGAGTGAAACATCAAGCACGAAAAACTCGACAAACTCTCTAGAAGGTTTTGTTGATATATCATGTTCACAAGGCTAAAATAGAGTTTTGACTTCACATTAAAATCTATGATTTAAATTACGGGGACTTAATTATTGTCCCCATAAGAGAAATCAGTCCCCACGACATGAGGACAACACACACACGCTAATCCCCTCAGATTTTGCATCTGGACAGTGAATGTTCCAGATTTTAACATTTAGCTCCGCGACAAACATGAACCTGAGGAGAACTCCACCAACCCATCACACGCAGGCCAGCTCCATCTCCACTCTCTGATCTAATATTGTTTCGTTTATGGATTTGTGAACAACAAAAGCTCAACAGTCGCACAATAATTACATTCGAACCGATGTTCTCCTGGGCCAGGCACTGACGCAGTGAGTGGAGGACCGAGGTCGCACTAGGTCTCACCTGTCCAGCTCTGCCCACTTCCAGCTCCACCAGAGCGACTGGACCGCTGTGGGCGGCGTCGGCCCGGCTGGCTGCCGCCTGGAGGTCCACTCTCCAGGAGAGGCCCCTGAGCCCGGGCTCCCAGCGGCTCTGAGCCAGTAAACTCTCCCTCACACGGACACGCTGGCTCTTCCAGAAGCGAGAGAGGGCGGCGGCCTGTTCGGGGGTCACCCCCCCGCTGCCCTGCTTCCTGGTCTGAGCTGTGAGGAAGGCCTCCAGCTGGGCCTGGTCCATGTCAGCTGTGGCAATAGACTGAGAGATGGTGAGAGGACGTGAGTCTTCAGAACAGCACAGATTCAATCCTCTCTTCACTTCATCCATGTACTGAATGTGTGTACATGTATATGTGGTCTGTAGCATGTTGCATGTGAGTAGTGTGTATGTAGCATGTAGCATGTGAGTAGTGTGTAT